AAAGATTTAAGCATATTCGTCTGTGTCTAGCGTTAAAAAGTAAACTTAACGTGTCAGCTTCTGGTGTAAAAATAATTGTATAAAGCCTAAGGGTCGAAAGGCAGTTTTGGAGGGGGCTATGAGGCCTTTACACGTTGGAAGTATCAATAACATTTTAATCTAAGCATTTAGTGGAGTTTAATCAGGAAAGGAAAAAAAAATTTTGAAATTTGTACGAAAATAAGTAGATGTTGAATTTGACGGGCCTTATTAGTCTAAGTTTGGTCTTGTTAAACATGGCTGATCAGTTCATGAAAGCAATTTGCGTGAAATGCTGTTATCACACAATCAATAAAAACAACACGATAGGAACCCGGTCGTTAACTCAACACACGCCATTTGTGTTTACAACGTTGACATTGTCATACATCATTCCAATGTCATCAAAATCCCCTTCGTAATTAAAGCTAATTACACTTTTTTTTTCCTAAATATAAAAATTGAGTTGACAACTTCCAAGTGTTGATATCAGCAAACGTAGAAAATTCTTTTCCTCATTAATAAATATTTTATTGCGGCTAAGCTACTAGTTTTCTTAACTGGAAACAAATTCCAGACACTTAGGTGGGGCAACCAAAACACGCAACTTCACTCAGAAATTAAGAAGGAATTTTTGTGATAATCATCTAACAATTTTTCCTAAAATGGACTAAACTGGAGACATATTTTAAATGTAAATCATAATTTCCAAGAATTACAATTTAAATATATAAAAACAAAGTTAAATTATTAAATCCATTGAAAAAAAATGTTCCTCTGAATATATAAAAATGATAATTTTTAACATCTAAAACGAAGAATAATAGAATAAATAACATAAGAATTATCATCAAGAAGATATTCCGAACCAACCAATAAGATACGGGTGTTCAAATTCGGTTTCGGTTCACAGGCCAAGCATGATGTCATTCAAGTCGTCTCCTATCGGTAAGTATGACAACAGAGGGGATAAATTACTTGCCAAACCGACAGTTACCTTTTAAATGGCTAATAGACTATTGGACACGCATAAGGGGGAGGGGATACTCTTTTAGCTATCGGCAGATTGAAAGGAGACGCCATCAGTCGTCCTCTAAGTCTCGCTATTGTCGATGACCATCTGTCCTTGTAGTTCCTTATTCATTTATTTAAACACACTAGTTGGTTTTGTCATTTCGGTCACGGGTGTACTTCGCACATCGGCACTATTGGAGCGGAAAAAGTGACTTCATTGACAACAGTTCTACAATGCTTCGTATGTGACAAAAGAAGGGACACTTACAATACTCGACTTTCAATGTCTGTTTTAGATTGTGTTTATGGGTTTACGTGTCAAATTTAATACAATTACCGTTCGGGAAAATAATACCTTGTGTGTTTTTTCTTTGCGTGAAATTTCGTTGTATGAAAGTCTTTACTTATTGAATTTGAAAAGTAATTTTTCATTTATACTTTGATATTTTTATATGATATTAAAAAGTCAAAACTACATAAAACAAACATTTAAATTTATTATAATTAAACATTTTATTGAATGAAATATGTAGATAAATTGTTTCGATCATTTCTGTCACATTAACATAATATTTCAGAATGTTACCTGCATAACGATACTTATAAAAGGATAAAATATAATTCTCTAACCAAATTATAAATTTTTATACTAAACTGGAGATATGAAGCTGTTATCTAATGAAATATTATCACACAAAATGTATTTAAATATTTAATAATTACTTAAATATTTGTTAACTACATTAAATCTCAAGAGATATAGAAACAACATTGTTGCATCTAAAATCAGCTTAAGATTGTCTTGTAAAAAACACCAGTTTTACGAGTAATACGATAGAGTAATTCAGTACTGAAAATAATTAAAATTTAAAGTTTAAAAGTTTAATTCAGCATTAAACTAAAACATCATTTGATATGAAATTTTTACTTCTGTCATTCCGAGAAGACAAATAACAATAGTCGATTTCTAATCTTGACAAAATTAAAGGAAATGATCACTTTTGGGATACGGTCTACACATGACAAGCGGAATCCTCCAAGAAAAATCGTCCCTTAATATGGCCAAAAATCCCTTAATTCTATATCGTCCATCTAACAAGAAGAAACGGGGAATTGATTACTGATCACCATCTCTTAAATCGAATATAAGAAATTCTTTATTGATTTCAACTATCTTAGCTTTCTCTAGTAATAGGAAATAAACACAAAATTGTAGATTATTAAGAATAAAACACAGTAGTGTAAAAATTTAAATTATGATACAAGGAAAGTTACACTTTCTGTAGTTCCTAGATTATTTATATTTTAAAAATAGTAGTTACAGTTTGTACAGTACTAAGATATATAAGTTATTTTAAATGGGTGCTAATTAGTACTTTTTCCCTTATTGGAAGCTTCTGAGACTTAAGAATTGAGTGTTTTCTATTTAATTCGAGGTTTTATTTTTCGTCGTCATTGAATGTAGCCGAGCTTCAGCCTAAAGTAGTGATTACAGAGAAGGGAATTTCTGCGAAGCAAATGTTCGAAACTTTTGACAAGACATTTTTACGTAAACGATGTTAATTTATTTATAGGTATTGACATTTTTAAATATTTTAAAAACGTTAAAAAAAAAGTATTGGAAGAAAACTGTGAAAAAGTTATCAACAATCCAGAAATTGTTACAAACTCGATAACCGATTCTCCGTCTGAATAAGAATAAGCGAATCGATGCAGCATTTCCTTTGCTGTGGTCACCTTCTTTACCAGGTTTTAACGGAATTATGACTCACATATATGGTACCCAGCAGGTATTGGCAATCACCGTAGGTGGCATCACTTAGCTATCCAGCAGATTTTAATATACGTCAAGCCTATCTACCACCATAGGTCTAATGGTGTTGACTCACCAGCTTCTTTCTAAATACAACAAATTGACCTGAACAGCCATAGTGTCAAAGTAACCGTCTGCTAAGATACCCTAACCTAATCTTTCTGTGGCTAGCTGCACTTATTACTGCCTCAGAGTCGCATTAATTCGCACTCAGTCGCCGGGAAACATAATATCTTGCACTGTAGGTGGTACCGTGTGACGCTCAGGCACGAATATCCCCCACTGGTCGGCCATTATGGCAAAAATTAGACAGCAACCAGAACATAAACTGACATTATTGTAGCCAGCGTGACGTCACGAGACCACGTGATTTATTAAATAGGTTGATGTTATTGCAATCGTCTTTTGTTGTTTTTAATGAATTACGATCCAGTTGTGTGAGAGAGGGGTTTGTAGTAAGCCGAATAGGAAGTGAGATGTGAAAGAGTGGCTTAAGATATGTGATGCATTGCTTCATGTTTGGGCAGTTATATCAATATAATCTGGACAACTTTTAATATAAGTTTTATATCAGATTTTATTTGTGAATTTCTTATGTATTAATCTAAGATGAAATTAATTTAAGATTATAAATTTCTTTCTTCTATTTTTTTTTCCACATTACGAATCTTTATTAAATTATTGTAGCCTGTATTAAAATTAATTAGCTATAATATATTCTTTTAAATTAATGTTTTACTGATGTAATTGTTTTTAAATAGTTTAAAATTAATGGATTTTCAAGCACAAATTCTCGATGTTAAATTAATGTTTGACATTTTCTTATCAGTTACTAAACATGCTTATGTATTGATGACATTGCTCAGCTTACTTCTTTATCCTTATTATTTTAATATCATTCTTTAATACAAAGACGTACTGAAATCAGAAGCTTATAAAATACGATCTTAAGTGTAAAGAATTTGAAGAGAATTTTAATAGTATTGAAGTAACAATGATTCTATGCGGTCAAATAGCTATTCTCCCAGTTAATCGAAGAAAAGTTCGAGTTAATCGTTTAACAGTTAGAATAGAATAATATAAAATAATACAGTAGTTTTAATTTAAAATATTTTATTATCTAAGAGAATGCACATTTAATTCAAATAAAATTTTAAAATAATGCTTTTTGTTTAAAATATTGTATTAATTATCTAATATAAGTTAAATTACAGTAAAATAAAATAATAAAAAAAACCCCGCTCTGAAACATTACAAATCTGCTAATAAATACAAATAAGTAAAAAATACAACGAATCAGTTAGGTTTCTTATAAGTTTTTAACAGGTAATTTTGGATGCTATATAAATACAGAGATTTAATTGAGATATTCGATTATATTCTCTTATGAGTCATGAAGAGCAGCAAAGATAACATAAACCTTTGTTAATCTCTACGTTTGCCTAGCTCAGATTTATATATATATATATATATATAATTAAAAAATAATGTTTTATAAGAGCTAACACATGAAGTTTGCACTACAATGTAGAATTTTTCAAGAATTTAAAAAAAAATCAGTAAAATCAAAAGATTTCTTTAGCTGAGGATAATCATTTGAATTTTTAATATTGTTTTTAATTGAAGCATTATTTTGTAAAAGCAATTATAAGTTTATAAGGCATAATGATTCACATGAACGAATAATCATAGTTTATACTAAGCTCTACAAACATTGTCAATGTAATTTTGTTTGATATTCGTTGTTTATTTTTCTTTGTGTTAATCTTTGTTTAATAATATAGACTACATTATATAAGGGCCGTCGAGAAGGGAAGATGGGGATTTTTCCGGGTATGGAAAAAACTTAAGAGGCTTATAGTGGTTCCTACTCCTATAAATTAATGTTATTTTTACTCATAAAAAATCTTAAAAACTGCTTTTTACTAATAAGAAACATTATAGGTGTTTTATTTGTTCAAACAATGGCAAAAAGGCCTTCTAAGAGGTAAAAGGGCCTATTCTTTTGCCTCTTAGATGGCTTTTTTTGCCCCTAGCACCATACAAGATCTCGAAGGCCCTTATTACATACCATAAATAAATTGAATAGTGTAGTTATGTAATGTAATAATTAGTTTAAATATAAATAGGCATATAAATAAATTGTGATGCTTACATTCTTCCTTTGAAGTAATTTAGGCCTAATTTAGGGACTCCATCATTAAAGAACGAGTCTGTTCTTTAAAAATAACTGGAAATATTAAATATTATTTATTACAATAAAATCTTTAATAAAATATTGAATTAATAAAATAAAACTTTTACTTATCAGCAGCATCAATTAATTTATTTAAACAAAATAAACAATAACATATTAGGCTTAAGTAAACAAGATTAATAAAAAAAATAAACAAATGCTGCCCCCTCGCGTTAAAAAATGATAAAAAATAATTTTTTTTTATTTTTAAAAAAAAATAAAAAATAAAAAAAGGCGATGACCAATTTCGAGGTTTAATGATCAAAGAAGCGTCAATAACAATTTCGCTGGCTATATTTGAAAAAAAGGTATTTTCACTCGAGATTGAATTTTCTCCCTTTTCACGGAGCGATAGGGATCCGTTGTGTATTGTATGTTATGTCGCTGCCAAGAAGGGGAAGTACTTTAAATGATTTCTGGCTGCTTTGGCGGCGCTTCACTTTTGCCTCTTTCGATTTCTGGAATCGTTTCCACACTTGAGCGGCAATTCCACTCCTTAGTTTAATTCCATCGGCAATTCTTTGCAATAGAGAAGAATAATCTTTAATCTTTTCTATTTTTAGATTAGGTATATTCAACTGTATTGTGCTTTTGAATTTTTCTTTTTTTCAAGAATAATATCAATGTCGGTCTAATATTTTATAAAATCTCTTAAAACTTTTAAAACTGTGCTTAAAACTTTGTAAAATTATTTAAAATACAGGAAAAAAAAATCACTATTCTTTTCTTATGAGAGGCTGTATTTTAAAAAAACAAGTTTTAAACCTTATTTGACTCTTAAAAAACACAAATTTAACATTATTTGTAATTTTTTTACAGTTCTAGAATGCATAAAATCAATTTTTTTCATGCTTTCTTGTAATCCTCTTGCTGGAAAGGATTAAATAAGTACGCTTTACACGTTGTATATAGCTTGAAAAAAGTGAAACAAGCTAGTATATGTAGGGCCTCACTTTTAAATTTATTATTATTAGCAGGGCCTCTTATAGATTTAATATTAGAGCCCTATATCCACACTAAGGCATGCTATTTTTTTATAATTTAATAACATATTTGGGCTTAATTAATTTTTTATAAATTATGGCTCTTTTTTATTAATTTAAATAAAAAATTAATAATAAAAAACAATTAAGAAGCCCTTCTGTGAAGGCTTAATTGCTTTTTTGTTAAATGAAATTAGTGCGCGTTATGATTGTGTATGTCTGACCGCTTTTTTTCCCCATAAAAAGTTTAAAAGTTTTAGGATTTTAAACTAATTTATTTACGAAATATTAAAAGTAATAATAATAATAATATGAATATGAATATAAATAAAGAAAATTTAAATTCCATAAACTATTTTTTTTTTAAGTTAATTTATTCTAGCTTGAGGCATAACACGACGTTATTCAATTAGTTCACGCCATCCTTCTTTCAATAGATTCATATCAATAAACTTCAAATTATTATTATTATTATCATAGAGTAAGTGGTTTTTCTACTGTCAAATTTTCATAAGCCAATCAAGTTGTATACTGTAAAGCTTTTTCAAATTTTCTCCCTTAACTCTTTATGCCCTGCATCTAGCCAAAGTTTTTTAATGCCTACTATGGGCTCAATCAGGCTCACGATGTGGCATAAGATGGCGAGGGATGGGGCCCGATATATCGAAGTCAAACTATATAAAAACTTCTAAGGATCTTAATGACAATCACAAGGCCTCACATGAAGTCAAGGTTTTTTTTTTTTTTAGCTTGTAAGAAACATAATGCAATAATTTGTAACGATTGTAAAGCGCCTGTAAATATGGGGACTAGACTAAATGGCCCTTGTGGCCCTCTTGCAATAGGGCCCGCGTAGGATAATGCCTCATAGATTTTTTGGTTTATTAAAATAATACATTAATCACAGACAATAATAAGAAAAAATTCATGTTTTTATGTTTTATTTAAAAAAAATTAACCGCTTATATTATTTAATAGTTAGATTAATAGAATATTAATTGTCTATAATTAATAACTATCAAATTTATACGAAGGATTTAATTCATAAATTTAGATAAAATCTACCAGCTCTGCCTTCAATCCGTAATTCAACCATTAATAAATTATAATTATTAAAATTTAATGCATTCAATGTAATATAAAAAAGTGATAATATATAATAAATTATCGGCTAAATGAACAGAAAGGTCCAAAAGTCGGTTAACAAGGCATTGTTTAGTGTTTTCTTGTTACGCTTGTAAATCCGGCCGGATTAGTAGAGGCGGTTTAAAGCATAAACCTACCTCTCTGGGGGACTCGGGTTCGAATCCGGACGATCGAAAAGCCTCTGGTGATCTGAGTCTCGTTCTTCAAGACCCGGTCGCTCCATTTCGGGCTTAAAAAAAGGGTCCTAAAATGGCCTTTCAAATAAAAAATCTAAAAAAAACGTAAATTGAATTTGTTAAAACGCCTTGTAATTTGAGTATTAAACAATTCTTCTAACGTTTGTGAGCATTAAAGAGCTTTACAACGGTTAACTGAGTTTTGGGCAACTCCGTTTATTCATTACGGAGTATTAAATCTTTAAACCTAGTCTTTTATTATTAAATGTATAGGCCTACACTAAATGTAAATTACGAATTCTTAAAAAATATTTTATCTACTGGAAGCGATAGACTAATTATAACATCCTCAATAAAGGAAGATAATATCAGGAAACTACTGTATATTAACATCTATGATTATTTATGAGTGGGTAGTGTCATGCCTACGACGAAAAAATAAAAAAATAGTGAAGTCTCTTTAACAATTTGTTTTCTTGTTAGGATACTTTTATATAATAGCATTATTTTTCTGATAAGATAATTTGATAAAAGTGAATTAAAAAGCTATCGAGTAAGAAACTCGGTGTAAATAAACTCATTAAAAATTTTTATACTGTTTGAATTCACGTAAGTTCATCTGAAGTAACGAAAGGAGACATTTTTTTTTATTTCTATTTGAGATAAGTAAATGTACTATTGTATTATAATTTTCGTCCATGTTTCAACATGATCATTAATTACATTTCGCACGAACGTATAATGAGATTAACTCTGTTTTTTTAAACTTGTTTTACGAGTTTAAATTACGATTGTGTAAAAGTATATTTATTATATACAGTCGACCCTGTATATATACAGTCGACCCCCCTATAACACTGTAGATAATTCCGTTTTATATGAATTCCATGTTGTACGAGTCACTTAGATTTTACAAATACGTGAGCCGTTCACAGCCCGGCNATTTGATTATGTAAAGAAGAAAAATTATTTTATTTCCTATTTTAATTTAAAGTCGGGTACACGCGAGTTTATACCTGAACCTGAAGCAATGGTGTTAAAATTTGGCAATTCTTAAGCCGGGATTTTAACATGATTGCTTATAGTGGACCCAAAAAGAATTAAATTACTTCCTAATAGCAGACATTCCACTCATTTTAAATAAGTTTTTTCGAAGTAGAAATACATAACTGGTTTATATCCGTGTAGAATTTTATACTTAACCGATAATTGTGGTAAAAAATATGATTAAGACCTGTCTCTTAGTTTAAAATTTAACTGAAAACTGACAGCTCAATTGTAGAGTGTGATGCATACACTATACGAATTACAAGCACTTTATTTAATTAAATATTGGATAAACAGAAATTTTAAAATGTGCTATCTTGCTTAAATTGTGTTTATTGTATTGTCTTATAAATTAAAAAGAATAAAAAACAGTAACCCTATTAGGCTATATAGTAATTTGGAATTATAGTACAATTAAAACTCCAAACTTCCCAATATCTTCCCTCCCTTTCAAATTATATAGGCTAATTAAAAGTTTATTTTTGAAGTTTATAAAAGATATATATTTGTTTATATAACTTAAACCAACAGCATAAGCAGGGAGTGACTAAAGGTGTCCGAGCCCACCTTTTTTGTAAATAAATAAATAAATAAGTACAAGAAAGAAATTAACATGTGACAAATGCACTTATTCACAAGTGTACTGTACACAATATCTAAGAGTTTGCTCTCTCCATCCACAGGTTAATGGCTACATCCGCTATAGTACAAAGATGAATATAGGTTTGCAATTTCTAATTCGGGTCCCCAATTTCTGTTCTAATAACAATACTGACTAAAACACTAATCCATTCTATACAGTTAATGCTTTAACAGGTTACGTTTATTTTAAATAATGTTCAATAATAATAAAATATCATGAATATTATTTGATACATTACTTATATACACTAATCTATATTTATTATTCACATAATTCTATAATCCAGTTTATATATAAGATTATAGAAACACTTAGTTTGAAAAGAAGGGTATAGCTTACGTTCTGCTTATTCAAAGTTTATATTCTGGTCTCTAATTAATCACGCTGTAATTTGTAGTTCTCTCTAATAGGTTTTTTTTTTAATTTTTATTTTAGCTTTATTATGCTAATTTAGAGAATATATAAAGCAACTAAAGTAATTGTAAATATTCAACACTTAATCTACATGTTATAGACATTACAAAGGATAGACCTGCATCTATAGAAAGTAATTTATGATTGAAAATAAGAAATGGATAACAATCAAGAATATAAGCTATAAAAAAAAAACTACATTTTATTAGATTATTTTTCCACTTTTATAGCAAGCTTATAAATCTAATATAAAAACTTTAATAGGGATAAAATGGTTCAGCGGATAAAAATATAATCGGAAGAGATCATAAAACAATCCGTTTAACAAAAAATTTTCATCTAAATACTCAACATCACATTTTTTTCCTCCCCGTGTTTAAAAAAAATGGAGCTTCTACATTAAATATACTGGCTAGCGTCTTGATGAGGTACATGAGAAGGAATTAACAGAGTTACCTCATTACCATTAGCAAAACCTTTCTTCGGTGCACCACCCACCGCTCCACCGAAATCAATAATCATTTAGTGTTGATGTTTAAGCTCTTTTAGCCCGGGGATGTTTTCAACCGTTCACGAACGATAAGGTTGGCAAGTTGGAACGAGCGAATTAATTTCCATCAACTCCAATGTTATTACCAACATTAGGTAATGTAATGAATATCTCTCCCTCTCTCCCCCCGAATGTTTATCGCTTTGACGTCAGCAACGGGAGCCCCTGTACCGCCTGACGGACAGATAGGACTACTATCCGGCTGATTAGGCCTAACGATAAGGAAGAATGAGATGAGTCATAAGATTTTCAGCGATTAAACAATTTTGCGGTTAATCGACCTAAGAAAATTGATGAGGATGTGAATAGTGAAATGCATACACCTACTAATTATACGGAGTAAAAGTGAGAGTGTTTCAGGTGAATATGGTTGATATTTCAAGTACACTAGTAGACATTTTATTTACTTTTTAAGTTTTGTCAATGGTTAAGTAATACAGTATAAACTCTTAAGATACTGAAGTGTATTGGGAAATTAAAGAAAAATCAAAGCAAAAAAAAAAAGGACTTTTTCCTGATTGTAAGACAAATGTAAAGTTAAAAAATAACATTAACTATGCAGATATATAAATAAAATGAAGAAGATTAGAGCAAACTATGTTGTAAAGGTTAAATAAGTTATTTTCAAAAATAGGTGGAAACAATGTTGTTAGTTTAAATGAAGATAGTTATTATTAGTAGCGTAACTAAGCTATATCAGAGTGAGCCAGAATTAAAACGTGCAAACCTACATTTACCCCTGTAAATGATGAGAAGTAAACTGTCTAAAATATTATATTTACATATGTATAAGCGCGTCTGTAAAATTCAAACCTTTATCTTGTTTTTATTTAATTTTTTCTTAATTTATTTATAAAAACTAAAGGGATTTAGTTTTATACATGTTGTCTATAGACCAACATATAAGCGTTACTACAGATTTTGAAGGTTAAAGCTTCGAGCTACTTTTATATCCTGGTAGAAAGATTAATGAATTCGAAGGCCTATTCGTTTATAATTTATTGTGAATTAAATTAGATAGGGTCTAGGATATAAAAAAGGAAACTTACGTCTATTTTAAAATTGTCATTTCTTTATCTGAACAGAAAAAAAGGACAGAGAGAGAGAGAGAGAGAGGAAAAAAAAAAATATGATTCTTTTTTAACCACACATTAATTTGTCATTTTTAACTTTTTCATTCACGCCTAAAGCTTTGCTGGCATACTTCAATTTTAGTGAATGCAATAAAAAATGTCTATTTTAGTTTTCGATAAAAGCCAAAACTTTGCTTTACAGACTCTAAAGGGTAAATTTCAATTGCAATTTATCATAATTTATCATTCAATCGTTAAAATTATTTATTTAAACACAAATATTTATTAAAAAATTAACACATTTTAATTGTATATTTTGAGTAATTACGAAAGATTTAAGCATATTCGTCTGTGTCTAGCGTTAAAAAGTAAACTTAACGTGTCAGCTTCTGGTGTAAAAATAATTGTATAAAGCCTAAGGGTCGAAAGGCAGTTTTGGAGGGGGCTATGAGGCCTTTACACGTTGGAAGTATCAATAACATTTTAATCTAAGCATTTAGTGGAGTTTAATCAGGAAAGGAAAAAAAAATTTTGAAATTTGTACGAAAATAAGTAGATGTTGAATTTGACGGGCCTTATTAGTCTAAGTTTGGTCTTGTTAAACATGGCTGATCAGTTCATGAAAGCAATTTGCGTGAAATGCTGTTATCACACAATCAATAAAAACAACACGATAGGAACCCGGTCGTTAACTCAACACACGCCATTTGTGTTTACAACGTTGACATTGTCATACATCATTCCAATGTCATCAAAATCCCCTTCGTAATTAAAGCTAATTACACTTTTTTTTTCCTAAATATAAAAATTGAGTTGACAACTTCCAAGTGTTGATATCAGCAAACGTAGAAAATTCTTTTCCTCATTAATAAATATTTTATTGCGGCTAAGCTACTAGTTTTCTTAACTGGAAACAAATTCCAGACACTTAGGTGGGGCAACCAAAACACGCAACTTCACTCAGAAATTAAGAAGGAATTTTTGTGATAATCATCTAACAATTTTTCCTAAAATGGACTAAACTGGAGACATATTTTAAATGTAAATCATAATTTCCAAGAATTACAATTTAAATATATAAAAACAAAGTTAAATTATTAAATCCATTGAAAAAAAATGTTCCTCTGAATATATAAAAATGATAATTTTTAACATCTAAAACGAAGAATAATAGAATAAATAACATAAGAATTATCATCAAGAAGATATTCCCAACCAACCAATAAGATACGGGTGTTCAAATTCGGTTTCGGTTCACAGGCCAAGCATGATGTCATTCAAGTCGTCTCCTATCGGTAAGTATGACAACAGAGGGGATAAATTACTTGCCAAACCGACAGTTACCTTTTAAATGGCTAATAGACTATTGGACACGCATAAGGGGGAGGGGATACTCTTTTAGCTATCGGCAGATTGAAAGGAGACGCCATCAGTCGTCCTCTAAGTCTCGCTATTGTCGATGACCATCTGTCCTTGTAGTTCCTTATTCATTTATTTAAACACACTAGTTGGTTTTGTCATTTCGGTCACGGGTGTACTTCGCACATCGGCACTATTGGAGCGGAAAAAGTGACTTCATTGACAACAGTTCTACAATGCTTCGTATGTGACAAAAGAAGGGACACTTACAATACTCGACTTTCAATGTCTGTTTTAGATTGTGTTTATGGGTTTACGTGTCAAATTTAATACAATTACCGTTCGGGAAAATAATACCTTGTGTGTTTTTTCTTTGCGTGAAATTTCGTTGTATGAAAGTCTTTACTTATTGAATTTGAAAAGTAATTTTTCATTTATACTTTGATATTTTTATATGATATTAAAAAGTCAAAACTACATAAAACAAACATTTAAATTTATTATAATTAAACATTTTATTGAATGAAATATGTAGATAAATTGTTTCGATCATTTCTGTCACATTAACATAATATTTCAGAATGTTACCTGCATAACGATACTTATAAAAGGATAAAATATAATTCTCTAACCAAATTATAAATTTTTATACTAAACTGGAGATATGAAGCTGTTATCTAATGAAATATTATCACACAAAATGTATTTAAATATTTAATAATTACTTAAATATTTGTTAACTACATTAAATCTCAAGAGATATAGAAACAACATTGTTGCATCTAAAATCAGCTTAAGATTGTCTTGTAAAAAACACCAGTTTTACGAGTAATACGATAGAGTAATTCAGTACTGAAAATAATTAAAATTTAAAGTTTAAAAGTTTAATTCAGCATTAAACTAAAACATCATTTGATATGAAATTTTTACTTCTGTCATTCCGAGAAGACAAATAACAATAGTCGATTTCTAATCTTGACAAAATTAAAGGAAATGATCACTTTTGGGATACGGTCTACACATGACAAGCGGAATCCTCCAAGAAAAATCGTCCCTTAATATGGCCAAAAATCCCTTAATTCTATATCGTCCATCTAACAAGATGAAACGGGGAATTGATTACTGATCACCATCTCTTAAATCGAATATAAGAAATTCTTTATTGATTTCAACTATCTTAGCTTTCTCTAGTAATAGGAAATAAACACAAAATTGTAGATTATTAAGAATAAAACACAGTAGTGTAAAAATTTAAATTATGATACAAGGAAAGTTACACTTTCTGTAGTTCCTAGATTATTTATATTTTAAAAATAGTAGTTACAGTTTGTACAGTACTAAGATATACAAGTTATTTTAAATGGGTGCTAATTAGTACTTTTTCCCTTATTGGAAGCTTCTGAGACTTAAGAATTGAGTGTTTTCTATTTAATTCGAGGTTTTATTTTTCGTCGTCATTGAATGTAGCCGAGCTTCAGCCTAAAGTAGTGATTACAGAGAAGGGAATTTCTGCGAAGCAAATGTTCGAAACTTTTGACAAGACATTTTTACGTAAACGATGTTAATTTATTTATAGGTATTGACATTTTTAAATATTTTAAAAACGTTAAAAAAAAAGTATTGGAAGAAAACTGTGAAAAAGTTATCAACAATCCAGAAATTGTTACAAACTCGATAACCGATTCTCCGTCTGAATAAGAATAAGCGAATCGATGCAGCATTTCCTTTGCTGTGGTCACCTTCTTTACCAGGTTTTAACGGAATTATGACTCACATATATGGTACCCAGCAGGTATTGGCAATCACCGTAGGTGGCATCACTTAGCTATCCAGCAGATTTTAATATACGTCAAGCCTATCTACCACCATAGGTCTAATGGTGTTGACTCACCAGCTTCTTTCTAAATACAACAAATTGACCTGAACAGCCATAGTGTCAAAGTAACCGTCTGCTAAGATACCCTAACCTAATCTTTCTGTGGCTAGCTGCACTTATTACTGCCTCAGAGTCGCATTAATTCGCACTCAGTCGCCGGGAAACATAATATCTTGCACTGTAGGTGGTACCGTGTGACGCTCAGGCACGAATATCCCCCACTGGTCGGCCATTATGGCAAAAATTAGACAGCAACCAGAACACTAAACTGACATTATTGTAGCCAGCGTGACGTCACGAGACCACGTGATTTATTAAATAGGTTGATGTTATTGCAATCGTCTTTTGTTGTTTTTAATGAATTACGATCCAGTTGTGTGAGAGAGGGGTTTGTAGTAAGCCGAATAGGAAGTGAGATGTGAAAGAGTGGCTTAAGATATGTGATGCATTGCTTCATGTTTGGGCAGTTATATCAATATAATCTGGACAACTTTTAATATAAGTTTTATATCAGATTTTATTTGTGAATTTCTTATGTATTAATCTAAGATGAAATTAATTTAAGATTATAAATTTCTTTCTTCTATTTTTTTTTCCACATTACGAATCTTTATTAAATTATTGTAGCCTGTATTAAAATTAATTAGCTATAATATATTCTTTTAAATTAATGTTTTACTGATGTAATTGTTTTTAAATAGTTTAAAATTAATGGATTTTCAAGCACAAATTCTCGATGTTAAATTAATGTTTGACATTTTCTTATCAGTTACTAAACATGCTTATGTATTGATGACATTGCTCAGCTTACTTCTTTATCCTTATTATTTTAATATCATTCTTTAATACAAAGACGTACTGAAATCAGAAGCTTATAAAATACGATCTTAAGTGTAAAGAATTTGAAGAGAATTTTAATAGTATTGAAGTAACAATGATTCTATGCGGTCAAATAGCTATTCTCCCAGTTAATCGAAGAAAAGTTCGAGTTAATCGTTTAACAGTTAGAATAGAATAATATAAAATAATACAGTAGTTTTAATTTAAAATATTTTATTATCTAAGAGAATGCACATTTAATTCAAATAAAATTTTAAAATAATGCTTTTTGTTTAAAATATTGTATTAATTATCTAATATAAGTTAAATTACAGTAAAATAAAATAATAAAAAAAACCCCGCTCTGAAACATTACAAATCTGCTAATAAATACAAATAAGTAAAAAATACAACGAATCAGTTAGGTTTCTTATAAGTTTTTAACAGGTAATTTTGGATGCTATATAAATACAGAGATTTAATTGAGATATTCGATTATATTCTCTTATGAGTCATGAAGAGCAGCAAAGATAACATAAACCTTTGTTAATCTCTACGTTTGCCTAGCTCAGATTTATATATATATATATATATATAATTAAAAAATAATGTTTTATAAGAGCTAACACATGAAGTTTGCACTACAATGTAGAATTTTTCAAGAATTTAAAAAAAAATCAGTAAAATCAAAAGATTTCTTTAGCTGAGGATAATCATTTGAATTTTTAATATTGTTTTTAATTGAAGCATTATTTTGTAAAAGCAATTATAAGTTTATAAGGCATAATGATTCACATGAACGAATAATCATAGTTTATACTAAGCTCTACAAACATTGTCAATGTAATTTTGTTTGATATTCGTTGTTTATTTTTCTTTGTGTTAATCTTTGTTTAATAATATAGACTACATTATATAAGGGCCGTCGAGAAGGGAAGATGGGGATTTTTCCGGGTATGGAAAAAACTTAGAGGTTTATAATGGTTCCTACTCCTATAAATTAATGTTATTTTTACTCACAAAAAATCTTAAAAACTGCTTTTTACTAATAAGAAACATTATAGGTGTTTTATTTGTTCAAAAAATGGCAAAAAGGCCTTCTAAGAGGTAAAAGGGCCTATTCTTTTGCCTCTTAGATGGCTTTTTTTGCCCCTAGCACCATACAAGATCTCGAAGGCCCTTATTACATACCATAAATAAATTGAATAGTGTAGTTATGTAATGTAATAATTAGTTTAAATATAAATAGGCATATAAATAAATTGTGATGCTTACATTCTTCCTTTGAAGTAATTTAGGCCTAATTTAGGGACTCCATCATTAAAGAACGAGTCTGTTCTTTAAAAATAACTGGAAATATTAAATATTATTTATTACAATAAAATCTTTAATAAAATATTGAATTAATAAAATAAAACTTTTACTTATCAGCAGCATCAATTAATTTATTTAAACAAAATAAACAATAACATATTAGGCTTAAGTAAACAAGATTAATAAAAAAAATAAACAAATGCTGCCCCCTCGCGTTAAAAAATGATAAAAAATAATTTTTTTTTATTTTTAAAAAAAAATAAAAAATAAAAAAAGGCGATGACCAATTTCGAGGTTTAATGATCAAAGAAGCGTCAATAACAATTTCGCTGGCTATATTTGAAAAAAAGGTATTTTCACTCGAGATTGAATTTTCTCCCTTTTCACGGAGCGATAGGGATCCGTTGTGTATTGTATGTTATGTCGCTGCCAAGAAGGGGAAGTACTTTAAATGATTTCTGGCTGCTTTGGCGGCGCTTCACTTTTGCCTCTTTCGATTTCTGGAATCGTTTCCACACTTGAGCGGCAATTCCACTCCTTAGTTTAATTCCATCGGCAATTCTTTGCAATAGAGAAGAATAATCTTTAATCTTTTCTATTTTTAGATTAGGTATATTCAACTGTATTGTGCTTTTGAATTTTTCTTTTTTTCAAGAATAATATCAATGTCGGTCTAATATTTTATAAAATCTCTTAAAACTTTTAAAACTGTGCTTAAAACTTTGTAAAATTATTTAAAATACAGGAAAAAAAAATCACTATTCTTTTCTTATGAGAGGCTGTATTTTAAAAAAACAAGTTTTAAACCTTATTTGACTCTTAAAAAACACAAATTTAACATTATTTGTAATTTTTTTACAGTTCTAGAATGCATAAAATCAATTTTTTTCATGCTTTCTTGTAATCCTCTTGCTGGAAAGGATTAAATAAGTACGCTTTACACGTTGTATATAGCTTGAAAAAAGTGAAACAAGCTAGTATATGTAGGGCCTCACTTTTAAATTTATTATTATTAGCAGGGCCTCTTATAGATTTAATATTAGAGCCCTATATCCACACTAAGGCATGCTATTTTTTTATAATTTAATAACATATTTGGGCTTAATTAATTTTTTATAAATTATGGCTCTTTTTTATTAATTTAAATAAAAAATTAATAATAAAAAACAATTAAGAAGCCCTTCTGTGAAGGCTTAATTGCTTTTTTGTTAAATGAAATTAGTGCGCGTTATGATTGTGTATGTCTGACCGCTTTTTTTCCCCATAAAAAGTTTAAAAGTTTTAGGATTTTAAACTAATTTATTTACGAAATATTAAAAGTAATAATAATAATAATATGAATATGAATATAAATAAAGAAAATTTAAATTCCATAAACTATTTTTTTTTTAAGTTAATTTATTCTAGCTTGAGGCATAACACGACGTTATTCAATTAGTTCACGCCATCCTTCTTTCAATAGATTCATATCAATAAACTTCAAATTATTATTATTATTATCATAGAGTAAGTGGTTTTTCTACTGTCAAATTTTCATAAGCCAATCAAGTTGTATACTGTAAAGCTTTTTCAAATTTTCTCCCTTAACTCTTTATGCCCTGCATCTAGCCAAAGTTTTTTAATGCCTACTATGGGCTCAATCAGGCTCACGATGTGGCATAAGATGGCGAGGGATGGGGCCCGATATATCGAAGTCAAACTATATAAAAACTTCTAAGGATCTTAATGACAATCACAAGGCCTCACATGAAGTCAAGGTTTTTTTTTTTTTTAGCTTGTAAGAAACATAATGCAATAATTTGTAACGATTGTAAAGCGCCTGTAAATATGGGGACTAGACTAAATGGCCCTTGTGGCCCTCTTGCAATAGGGCCCGCGTAGGATAATGCCTCATAGATTTTTTGGTTTATTAAAATAATACATTAATCACAGACAATAATAAGAAAAAATTCATGTTTTTATGTTTTATTTAAAAAAAATTAACCGCTTATATTATTTAATAGTTAGATTAATAGAATATTAATTGTCTATAATTAATAACTATCAAATTTATACGAAGGATTTAATTCATAAATTTAGATAAAATCTACCAGCTCTGCCTTCAATCCGTAATTCAACCATTAATAAATTATAATTATTAAAATTTAATGCATTCAATGTAATATAAAAAAGTGATAATATATAATAAATTATCGGCTAAATGAACAGAAAGGTCCAAAAGTCGGTTAACAAGGCATTGTTTAGTGTTTTCTTGTTACGCTTGTAAATCCGGCCGGATTAGTAGAGGCGGTTTAAAGCATAAACCTACCTCTCTGGGGGACTCGGGTTCGAATCCGGACGATCGAAAAGCCTCTGGTGATCTGAGTCTCGTTCTTCAAGACCCGGTCGCTCCATTTCGGGCTTAAAAAAAGGGTCCTAAAATGGCCTTTCAAATAAAAAATCTAAAAAAAACGTAAATTGAATTTGTTAAAACGCCTTGTAATTTGAGTATTAAACAATTCTTCTAACGTTTGTGAGCATTAAAGAGCTTTACAACGGTTAACTGAGTTTTGGGCAACTCCGTTTATTCATTACGGAGTATTAAATCTTTAAACCTAGTCTTTTATTATTAAATGTATAGGCCTACACTAAATGTAAATTACGAATTCTTAAAAAATATTTTATCTACTGGAAGCGATAGACTAATTATAACATCCTCAATAAAGGAAGATAATATCAGGAAACTACTGTATATTAACATCTATGATTATTTATGAGTGGGTAGTGTCATGCCTACGACGAAAAAATAAAAAAATAGTGAAGTCTCTTTAACAATTTGTTTTCTTGTTAGGATACTTTTATATAATAGCATTATTTTTCTGATAAGATAATTTGATAAAAGTGAATTAAAAAGCTATCGAGTAAGAAACTCGGTGTAAATAAACTCATTAAAAATTTTTATACTGTTTGAATTCACGTAAGTTCATCTGAAGTAACGAAAGGAGACATTTTTTTTTATTTCTATTTGAGATAAGTAAATGTACTATTGTATTATAATTTTCGTCCATGTTTCAACATGATCATTAATTACATTTCGCACGAACGTATAATGAGATTAACTCTGTTTTTTTAAACTTGTTTTACGAGTTTAAATTACGATTGTGTAAAAGTATATTTATTATATACAGTCGACCCTGTATATATACAGTCGACCCCCCTATAACACTGTAGATAATTCCGTTTTATATGAATTCCATGTTGTACGAGTCACTTAGATTTTACAAATACGTGAGCCGTTCACAGCCCGGCACACGTATTTGTAAAATCTAAGTGACTCGTACTACATGGAATTTATATAAAACGGAATTATCAACAGTGTTATAGGGGGGTCGACTGTATATAAATTAGTCCTTAAAATTTTCTTAATTCATTAATTTAATGAAGTACAGTAAAACCTGTGTAAGCCGGAATCGCGCGGTAACGAATATTTTTTCCGGTTTGGACAGGTTTAATTGTATTACACATTTAAAACAGTGTTTAAAGTAAGACCCAGAAGTAACGAGAGGGTTGACTTGTAAATTAATTTGATTTGAATGATGTTAAATTGTGTGTTAGGATAATTAAATTCGTAATTAAAATTAAAAAGATAAATAATTATAATTGTACAACAGCATTTAATTATCTAAAATAGCGTAGAATGTTCTAATTTCTTGTAAATTCACTCAGTTAAGTTAGTGCAGTTTGTTTAGAGTTTATGTGAAAAGAATTCGAAAATATTTAATTTTTATTTATTTAATCAATAAAAACTTGTTAATCAATAAAAAGTTGGTGGACTTTCCTGGCATTCTTCATTTGTTTTCATCTCCTAATTAATTGCCGCCATTATCTTCAAGTCTTCAAATTGGTTCGGGAGATATTAAGGAAATATATGTAAGCCATATCTCTCGAACTAATAGTTTGATTTTCATGAAAATTTCTAAAGACACTTTGCCGTAATACATAAAACTCCTTGCAAAATTTCAGAAAATTTAGAGAAAAGACACATGAGTTATTAAGCTTTAAAGTGAGAAAAAAAAATCATGTTATCCACACTCATAGGCCTATTAGCATTCATATATACAGAAAAACCCCCCGTGTTTTTGCATTTCTGAACATTTAAAGGTTCCTCGAGTCCAAAAATGTAAAATCTGGGGATTAGTTTTTGACTGATCGCCCTACTTTCTCTTCTTTTTATAACAACCGGGAAAGTAAAATTAAAAATAAAGTTTTGAAAGAAAACTATGGAAACTCTCTAAATCTTCAATTATATTTTGTCATATAAATTTAAACATATTCAATTAAATAATTTTTAAAAATCTCCATTAAATCCTATTTATTTTCATAATACGCAGTCAATAAATTATGGTTAATTTATGGAAGCGGCCGGATTAAATGCTAAAGTTCTGTGAATAAACAGAGTATGCTTGAAAGAACAAATCCGTAGAAAGATAAAGACAGCGCTAATTTCTGCCTTGACGATAAACAATCGAGAGTGCAAGAACATACGACGAAGGGAGTAAAAATAAAATTGAAAAAAGAAGAAAAAAAAAATCTCGAAAGCAACGATTAGCGTTGAATTTCTACTCTGGTCCGCACCACGAAGCAGAATTGCACGGAAACAGATAACAAAACATCATCCACAAGCATTTTCCCTGTAGATAAACAATCCTAATTAAAATATCGACCCCACTTATCAATTTACATTGAAGTAATTACATTAACTAAACCTGGATCGGTTACAAAACGTTGCTCAGATGGGCCGCCATTAAGCAAAAACCAAAAAATAATTAAACAAGCAGGTGTTAATTTGATTTCTGGCAAACAATATTCTCGGTAATAGGCCATTTGATTTGCAATTGGTTGCCTTTTCAATAGAATGGTGGCAATTAACCCAAATGGGCGGCGCTTAATGAAAATTATTTTCAATTAACATGCGATCGCCCACATCAACGCAGACAAAGTATGGAATATCCGCTTCCGATTAGCTTGTTATGTAGAGGAACAAATAAAATTAATTGCCTATAAATTTGATATAGTAAATCATTTTTATCGAGTAAACTCGTGGTTATGTTAAAACTAAGATGTATTGTTCAAAACTTTTACTTTGAACGGGATTATATCAAAAGAGCTTTTCTTTGTCAACTGAGTTAATTAGAAGGAAAGTTCTTTTAGATGAGAAAGGTCGGTTCCGTTCCGAGCTATCTGTAGCGTCGAAAACTAGACTTCTATACCCACAAAGCCTTATCAACTGTACTTCCAGAAGAAAGATGACTGGTGCATGAGTTTCTGCCATAGAGTCATAAAACTCCATTAAGGAGAGGAAATTGCCGAGTTAAACGCTTATCACTCTAGGGATGAATTGTATAATGGCTTTCGGGTGCTCCTTATCGGTTCCGTTGAAATAACCTGGTAACGAGGTGACGGATACAACGCCACCTAGTGACAGGTCGTCATTTTTGCTGTCGCGACAAGCAGCTAATGTTTTTCACGCGTCACCACTTCGAGTGACTGCTTGCTCGATATCTAGTAGCAGTGATTTGCCAGCAGTCCGGATATAGTTGCAATTAATGGCTGGGGTTGAGGAAAAACATATCCTATAGGATCATCTGGCTTGCTTTTTGGCTTATAAATAATTTTTTTTATCTTCGTTTTGTTTACTCTTTATGATTTACTCGTTATTATTTTAACACTTATTAATTATTCAATCGTTATTTTTTTCCTGCAAATTTCCGGAATTTTCTCTCCCAAAAAAATTTCCCGAAAAAATTAATTATAATTTTAAAAAAAATTAATTTTATTAAATAATTACAGTAATTTCGAATGCAAAGAATTAATTTTAAAGAAAAAATTCCGTTTTAAATCAATTCCTTTCTCTATTTTTAAATTTAAATTTCGATAATAATCAGTTTCATTGGACGACGGTTATTTTTGAATTTAAATCAGCCAATCGCTAATAATTAAGTGATTTAACCATTATAATTAATTAAATAGGGCTATTTATTAAGAAATAAGTATACTTTAATGCAAATAATATAGCTCGGGTGACTTTACTTATTGAGTAGACAAATAATTTTCTAGGTAAAGATATCCTATTCGGATCTTCGGATACGTTTCCTGTTTGAGGATATAATGAATGTAAGAGAGGATATCTGCACTAATTGCGACATTAACTCACGTTTCGATTGTCTAAATCGTTCTCCTAATGACGACAATTGTCAGTGGTGCGAAGTAATCAGGCATTTCCCTCTCGTCCGTGACGTTTATACATGGGTGGAGCCGTACCGGAAGTCGACGAATCAATCCACAAGGGTGTGGTTTAAATTTGAAATCAGCATCTCGATTGGTCAGACGTTTTGTACCTTCCTTGGCACTCATCCAAGAATTTACCAAAAATGGTAAGTTAAAAAGGGGGATGAAAAAAAATCGCAAAAATGGCGCATTTAAAATTAATGTTAAAGTAACTGATGGTTTTCTGTTAATCGTAACATTATCGTGACTGGGGAAACATTAAAAAATTTTAAACCTGCGTCATTTTTTTTTTTTTTTTAAAAAGAGAGAGAACTTTTTTTCCGCTTCTCCTTCCTTTTGCTTTCTTTTACATTCCCACAGCAGATAATTGATTTTAGACAGTGATAAAATGGATTATTTGTAGCCATTACTGGAAATTATCAGTGATAGTAATAGATTGGTAGAATTAATGACGGGAAAACAGTAATAACGAGAAATTTTCTTTAACGATCTGTGTTAGACGTGGAAGTTTGCAGTCAAAGTTGGTGATAAGGCTTTATTGCCTCGTTGATCGCCTGATGTATGACCGACGCTTCGATCATAGACGAACTCTTTTTTCCCTTCTGTTCGGAAATCTCTTCTTTTTTCCCCCCTCCAAACGGTTTTTTAACGGAAAAACTCCGATTTTTACATACTCCCAAATCGTTAACCATTGTCGGATGGGCGCTATTACTCGATATTTTTGACATTTGAAGAGATATTTCTCCCGCCTCATTTCTGTTTGTTTATCGCCAGTTTTTGGTATATTTCTTTCTGGCTCTTCCTATTTTTTTTTTTTAAAGAGAAGTTATTAATTTAACGTTGGGAATTCCGTAATTAAATTAATTACCGAGAATTTAGCCTCGTTTATTTTCTCTACCAAAGTAATAAATTATCGACTACGATAAGAAATTATATTTGTATAAAAGCTTAGCGTGTTTTTTTTTAATTTAATAAACCTAATTTCTAAATAAAAATTTATTGTTATTATTTTTTTAAATGAAAATTAATCTTGTGCTTTAATTATAATAAAAATTTTTATTCAGAGGGTGAAGCGAGAATGCCATCTATCGAGAGAAAATTCATTTAAAAAAAAAAAAAACATAAGATATTACACGCGCTTGTGGTTCCTCTAATAAAACTTGGAGTTTGATATCTCGCTAGAAATATCGAGTGCATCTTCGAGATAGCGGCTATAAATAGACAAGATAAATTTTTGTCAAACTGTGTGTCTGCCCTCAAACTTCATATTCGTTTCTCTGTAAAAAAAAAAAACTTTCCTATTTCAGTATGCAATTAAAAAATTTTCCAAATTATTTAACTCAGAATTGCATTAATTAGTAAAATTTCTCTGTGTTTAACAATGCTTTGAGACTGTGGTTATAGATCCAAACAAATATCAATATTATAAAAAGTAAGTAAAAGAGAAGAAAAATATGCTTAATTTCTCTTTAAAACAATAAAAAAGAATGTAAAATTTTTAATTATTTTGAAGTTAAGATGATAAATTTTAATTTTTTAATAAGGAAGAATAAGTTGGATGAACATCCTCAGAAGATTCAAAGTTTCTTTAATATACTGGTATTGTAGCTATTATTATGGGGAAAATAAGAGAAATAATAAATTAATTTTTGTTTAAAATAATAAAAAGTATAGAAAAGTTTTCAGTTATTTGGGAGCTGACAAACTATTTTTATTTTTTTTATTTTTTAATGCTGAACAGAGTTGGATTATGCTTACAATGAACCATAGATAAGATCACGTAACGCTTCTTTTACGTGTTTTTTTTTTAATAACTATAGTTGCTACCAGAGAAAATAATTAAAAGAAAATAAAGTTAATTTATTTTTGAAACAACATTTTATTCTTTTAAATTATTTTTAAGCTGAAAAGGTATATTATATTTTTTTAAGTGAGGGAGAAGAGTTGGATAATGATCCTCAACCAAACATCAGAAGAGTGTTTAAAGTATTTTTTACATGTTTTCTAATCCAAGTTTGGTAAATAAACTTATTATAAGGCATAAATTAAAAAGTTTTCAAGAGAAAGATTCAATATACTTCAATCAATTTATGATAATTTCACAAATTCCCCTTACCAAATGATCTCTCTAACACGTTTTAATGAAGAAATATGTTAAAGAGATTACAAAGAGAAATTCATATATAAAAATAATTTTAACCAATAAGATAAGACATATTTATGACCCTTCTATGGATATTTATGATATTAATATGGCAATAAAAAAAATTAAAAATAATAAAAATTTCTATAGAAAATGAGAGGTAATATATTTCTTGTGTTCATAAAGCGAAATAAACAGGTAATAATTACAGGCAGCGATTACATTCCAATACTCTTTAGTCTTGTATTTGTTAATTACTTGTCTGTAAATGTTTAATTAACAGCCAACGACATTTTCAACGCCTTGTCATCTAATCGATCGGACGCCACAAATCTTGCACCTAATGAATTTTAAAGACCGATTTCTATTGTTCAATCTTCAAACAATGGCCGACCGATAAGTGGCAAGGATTACATTTTAATCACTTCTCTTGCTGCTGCAGGGAGATCGCCTTCCGGGAATGCCTCCTTTGTTACCTCCTATTGATTAATAGCTTCAGTAATGGTTCGGATGGGGAATTGGCAGCAAGATATCGGAAAAGCAAACTGTTTTTTTTTCCTCCCCTCCACCACCACCTCCTCCTCCTCCTCCTCTTCTCTCTTCTCACTTTCTGCCCCCCTCTTTGATTTCTTTTCAACGTAGTCGGCTTTAGATCAGTTTTTGCCAAATGATTTTTGGTTTATCAAATTTCGATTGTTTCTTTTCTCAAATTTCCACTGGATGAATATATATATTATTTTTTTCCCTATCTTTTTTCTAGAAAGCCATGAGTTAATGCGCTATGCGAATTAATTGCAAAAATCATCAATCTTTGCGGCATTTTAATTAATATAATTTATATGGATAATATACAGGATAATTTTAAATTAATTGGGTCAAATATATATATATATATAGGCCTATATTAATTTAATAAATTAATTTTAAAGATGCGAAACACGCAATAAATAGGCATAAATAGAGTCATATGGCTCGGATCCGAACATGGTAAGGCCTCAAAAAGTTAGTTTATTTTGATAAATGAGTCAGAAATTCCATTTTATATATAATATTTTTGTCTTTAGGAGAGATGTGAAGCTCTGTATGTTGGGCCTTTTCTCATTTCACATCTCTTAGTCCTTATATTAGTAAAATATGATCTAAGGAGCACGCTATTCATTGATTTAGAAACTCATTGAAATTGCCCTAATTAGTAATTAAAAAAAAATATTCATTTTCATTAATTTCATTTCTGCTTTAAAGAATATTAGAAGGAACTACAAGTTCAAGCTGGTGTGATATTATAAACTATGAAAATCAACTATAAACACATGCTTACAAGTTAGATGATGAAAGTAGAAAACAACTCATCGTTTAATCTGAGTACATTTACTAAAATGGTGCGTATAGATAATTTTATTAATGTTTTAATATACCACAGGACTGTAAATTTGAATAACACGTGGAAAAAAAAAACAAAATGAACAATGAACAACTTCATATTTTGAGCTCGCCAAGGCAGAGTGAAAAATAAAAATAAATAAAACATCGAATGCTTGATAGTTGGTCGCGGGTTCGCTCCTGACCAACAGGCTGGCCACGTGGAGTTTTCCGCGTTTTTTCACGTGTCTAACACCTAAATAGGGTAAAATCCCCATAGAAAGTCTTCCGGAAAGCATCTTCTCCTTTGGCAGATTGCCCATGTGTTGCGTTGCCTTATTCAATCAAATCAAATCTTCTCAAGCACTCCACAAGTTTAGAAGTGAATAAGCAATAAACGTGAATTTTATGAACAAATTTACTTATAAATAGATAAATTTCTGCAATTTTAACACACACACAAAAAAGAAAAATCCATAAGATTATTTTCATTTGATTAATGAAACATTTGAATTTTAATAAATAAAATTATTAATTAAGTTTAAGGGTAATCACATTACCAGAAAATATTCTACAATAAAAAAAAAAAGACTAGAAAAACAAGCGTAACGTCACTTTCTGTTCTATAAATTTCGGATTAAAAATATTTCTATTTTTCCGTTCCGTTTTTAAAACGCACCAATCGGAAAGTGATATTTTGGTGACGTAATTTTTTTTAAATTGCTGGCAACACTGATAGACAATTTAAAGTTTTCAAATTAAATGGCGGAAGAAGAGGATGAAAGAATACATTTACGACTAACTTTTTAAACTTTGCCTTAATAAGCGAGAAATTTCATATTGGCAAGATATGCATTATCAACGCACGGACATCCATTTTTGCTTGTTTTTTCTACGCGAATTCGCTAAGAAATTCTGTTTTACAGAACATTTTGGCTAATCTCTTGGTCAATATCGTTTTAAGAAATTAATACTTAGTGGCTCTTAGTGGTTTTCATTCCCTATAAATTAATGTATACAAACCTTCGACGGACCCGCTGATGTCTCTGGTTTCTGGTGACGTAGAAACGAAGCATAAGTCATAGTTAGAGGCTAAGTTAAGTTGTTGTATGCTATCAAGATACTCTGGAAGCTCTAGAATGCTGTAGATCATGGATTTCAAACTCAAACGCAGCAGAAAATCGGTCAAATAATTGTACATCATACGCGGGCCTTATTCATTATTATTCGGTAAACCAAAACATAAAGTAAACTAAAAAAAAACAAGGCTCTAACAAACCCTTCTGTTGCCAGGCCTTTACGGAGATTAAAACAGAATTTTTTTTTCTGTTTTAATCTCCGCAAGATGTTAGAGACATTGATTTTTAGAGAATGAATCATCGAGGCCCGCGGGTCGCCATTTTGAGATATGCTCTGATAGTCGTGCAGCGTTTTGCGACTTCTAGAGCATCTATTAGTAGTGGAATTTGAGCTTTCTAGAGCTTCTAAAACATCTGAATATATTAATTTTTGTTATATTTTCTTTACGTTTTTCAAAAAAAAGGCCTATCTAATTATAATTTATGTATAGGCTATATTTTTAACGCAGGAATACTGAATGTATGCACTTATGTAACTCGTTGTATAACAAGTAGAATGAGATGCGATCTAGTTACAAGAGACTTCCCACTGTTGGAATATCGAGTGCAAGTATAATTTTTAGTTACTTATATACAGTATAGTTACACCTACAATATTTATAGTTATCAATATCATGATACACTTAATTTCGAAGCGATAAAAAAAAAAAACAAATTGGAAGAATTTCGATAGAACGTGACTACGAATTGAAAGAAATTTAATAAGTATCAGGAGATTTAAAAAAATTCCTGTATATTTTTCTTAAACTGCATGAATTGACCAAAGATATATGAGAAATATCGTGATGGATGCTGTCGTTAAAACGATATTACAAATGATATTTCAGATAGGATTTGGAAGAAGTGAGAAAATATCGAGATCTTATACTAAAAAAAATTCTAGAAAATAATATAATTTTTTAAAATTTTATTCTCTATTTTCTTATTTAAAATATGTTAGAAAATTACAGAACTGGCAGAGATCGAAGTCTCATCACAGGTGCGAGGCCTCACCTCTTCGAAAGCCCTAAATATATATAGGCCTATATTATACAACAAAACGGATTTTTTGGTCGCTTATTAAGAGAAATTTTAATTAATATTATATTTTTTTACATAAAAAAAACTAAATTTTAGGCCTGTGTTTAGGGAGCCAGAGCCGTATGGCTTCGAACACAGAGGCCATTCTATATCTGCTTATTTATGAGGAATTTAATGAATTTCTTATGAAGAATAAATAAGTTTCTTGTAACATAATCATTTTTCTTATATTTGTCAATCGCGTTAATCCCGCTGTGATCGCTCGAAGATATATTCGACCACTCACAACACGATCTTTATCTCGTACACTAACGCCTATCGCTATTTGTTTATCATTTCCAATTAATTAGGCAGTAAATGAAGGCCATTTTTAAAGTGCAATAACTTATTGTACGTTACTACAAGTAAAAACTTTTATTAGAAACAGTATTTAACTGTTTTTGATCTATTTAATTATAATTTCTTTCTCTCTTATTCTAATTTACGAACAATAATTTACGTCATAAATGCAGGCCCAATACACACTTTGCACCTACCTTCTTGTTTAATTAGTTTGTTCACTGAAATAAGAGCTTAAAATTGTTCCGAAACTAAAAAGAACATAGCTAATGACCTGTTTAAACAGTTAAATAATACAATATTTTATAATTATAATACACAAATATAAAAATACAGGATGGTCCAAAAGTCAGTTAATCGTTCTACAGCTAGCTTCAATATAATTTTTATTGATAAAGTTGATAAAAATTGCTTCAAATACACAATTTACAGTGTTATTTCTGTACAAAATGGTATTGTTTTGAAGTGTACAAAAGCTTTCATCAATCAATTCTTCGATGTTTTCGGTTAACTTATTTTTGGGCTATCTCATATATATTTAAATTTATATTATCTAATTAATAATTATTTATTTTCTTTAATTTCAGATAGAATTGAAGTTACTTTTAAACAAAAATGGAAGTTTAAAGCAATACGAGGCCGTAGATAAGTACGAACTAGTGAGGCCACTTTTATACAAGTTTATAAGCTGTTATATAAATCCCGTATTACAATATTGTACAAGGCCTAGAATCCTAACTAATACTAAATTCTAGTATGGACACTGTCAACTGAGCGATGGACACGTGGGTAACAAAATAAGAGACTAATAGTAGAGAAAATACAATATAAACGAGCAATTATTTTATTGTGACATCGTCACAATACCGGATTGCAATTTTTAACCATATTTTTAATTTATTTAATTTAAAACGTATGCTCGCCACTTCAAATTAGTAGTGGCTTGCCCCTGTACGTCATACTTTGCCTTTAACATTAGAGTCGTGCCGGTCATCTGTCTAACACCTTTGGCGGAGAGGAGTTTTGAATTGAAATAACGCAACTTCCGGTCCAAACCAAAAGTTCATATATAGTTAATCGGGGGTTTCTGCCCCTGATGTTTCCATATCTGCTCTCGTCTTTCACCTAACTGAATCCGTTCTCGATATTAAGGAAAGACAGACGGACAGACGGACAAACGGCGACAGTGGGAATTTACAGGTCTACAATTCTTTCAAATTGCAGCCCAATAACAATTCTATAATTTGCGAATGTTTTCGAATGATTAAGATAGGCAAATTATTATTTTATATTATAAAATCTGCTTCCAGTTCTTTGGTATCTCTTTTGTAAACTGAGACATAGTGAAGAGGACTGGAGAGATGCTAAGTGAAAAAGGGTGCTATGAGCACTGTTGTTAACAGTAAATAATTGCATAAAAACTGTGTATAATATATTATATACAGCTTATACATATTATAAATGTATATTATATAACAATATAATATGTAAAATACAGTACACAGACTATAAGGAAAAAATTGATATCTATGAATATTACATCAGAGACAAATCAATAATTTTCGTTGCAGTAATTTATTAACTAAATAAAAATATTTTATAACATAAAATATAATACGCAATCATTACTATTAAAAGTATAATTCAACAATAAAAAATATATTTAATTTTTAACATTTAAATTTTTATATACTCACGGCGCCATCTATGAGTGGAATGTTATTCGAAAAAAAATCAAATCTTAATTTGTAAAATCAATATTTTAAAATAAAAATTATAAATTAAATATTAAAAATATATTATATACGTATTTATATTTATATAAAATTATACAGAGACTTTTAATTATAATATATTTTTTTATTAAGTGTATAGATAATACAAAAAAAAAAAAATGCTTATTTTATTACACAAATTTCAAAAGTTAATTATTATTATTTTGTACGTTAACAAATATAGTATTTTTGGTAAAAATATTTCAAAATAAATTATTAATTAATTAATATACAAACATTTTTTTATAATCGATTATTGACAGCTTAACCAATGAAACTTGTTAATTAACGTATTGTAAAATTCAAATTTATAATAAAATAAAATAAAATAATAATATTTTAATAATAGTACAATTAATGAACAGAATATTAATTTTTATATTTAAAAACAATTATTCGTATTTTATTTTTATTTATTAATATTTTCGTTTACGTCCGCTACGAGCGTAAGAATCGTACTTTAAGTTACGTAATTTTTTTTTGTTTTCAAATTACGTTTACGACGTTTGTTAATGTTAATTTAAATTTTAATAAATAATCACTGGTGAGTTAAAACTTAATTTATAAATATGAAAATTTTTAATAACAAATATAAATTTAATTTTCAAGTTATTTTATATCTTTAGGGATTTTTATTCGAAAAATTAATTCCGTAATTGTTATCTCTTGTTTGATAAACTCGATTGTTCTTAATTAATTTAAAATTCTATCGCCGCTTTGTTCTAAAATTAATTATGTAATTTTTAAATATATTTATTTAACGCGCTTCTATCGATTAATCAATACAGTTTATTATTGTTATTATTTTCTTTTTTTAAGGAGTTTTAATAGAATTATTCGTTTAATTTTCATTTTTTTAAATAATATTTTTCTCTATAATTAATTCTATCGGATGTAATTAAATTTTATTAATTTTATTCAATAGAAAACCAGTCTATAAAGATTAAAAATAATTTTATTATTAAAAAAATGATAATAAAATTATTATAAAGTTAAAAGTTTTTAAACTTGTTCGTATAAATATATTTAAAGATTTATGATTTATAATTTTAAAAATTTAAATTCCCAGATGCTATTTCCATCTGGTGTATAAAAATAGCATTAATTAATCTGAAGTTTATTTGTTGTATAATTAAAATTATTATCATTTTATTAACTTGTAGAATAAAATAAAATTTAAGGAAGTGTAAAAGTTACACGTGATTTAGTTTTTGAAAAAAAAAAATTTAAATTTTGAACGAGTTCTAGCGTTAGCGATAGATTCAAAGCGATCGGTGTTTGATCGCCACGTAAAGTTTGTGAGCTTTTTAATTGCTCTTTTTATATAAAAATTATTAGATGCCAAGAGCATATTTGTTTTAAAATATGAAAAAAATCAGTTATTTTTTAATATTTTGAACACGCTAAACGCGACGCATAGCGCGTGTTGTCGCTTTGTACCAGTCGCTAACGCCATTTTAAACATTTAATTTTACAGTAATAATCGCTATTAATGTAAGTTATATGTAATAAAATTCAAAATAAACAATATATTTTGTTTTTAACAGAATCGGAGAATGGTCAGCCAATCAAAGAACCGGCGCAACAATAAAAATGGAATCTGCGAAGAAGTTTTAGGGGAATGCTACTGTGAAGATGCCATACAAGTTCAACAACTTTGTAACAGCGGGCAGCAATCGCACGCTCGTTACGTATTTGGATCGCTTTTGGTAATGTTACACTTACTTGGAATCAGTACGGATCACCGATCCGCACCGTCGCGTTGGGAATGTTTTCTCATTAAATTGATCAATGCTACCGTTCTATGCGTCATGATCAATGACGTGTATGTTATATTCATTCATAACGTTACCCCTTCATTACTCCGAAATGTACTTTGCAGCCTTTACGTGGGATCTGCAATCTACAGCCATCGCAAAATGAGATATTTGGCGGCTGAAATCCTTGATTCGCTCGATAAACATTCATACCTGATCGTACCCGATAAACAGGGAATCAAATACATCAGACGATGGAGCTTAGTCCTCACAATTTCGGGGATTTTATTATTGTTGGCATATTTATCCGCGAGTTTAATTTTGGTAAAGTTTTATGGATTCAGATCGGTTATTAAGGGTTATGCACTCGGAGTGAGCGAGGTGAATGTTTGGATATCCGCGTTGATTTTCGTACTCATGGTAGTAGCTGGCGTAGTTGTTCTCATGCCTCTTTATTACGTCGTTGCCTTCTACTCTTTGATCACTTTGTTCTTGTCGTGTTTATTTTCGAGTCATTCACGCCTAACAATTCGATCTATAAAGATCAAACTATCATCTCAAAAGGAGCATACACAGCAATCGTTTTCTTTCTATTGCCATCTCTGTGAGTTGGTTAAAGTCATCGATAACATCTTAAGTTACCCATCTATGATTTGGTTGATCGTCAATTTGTCCATGGTTTTCTCTTTAGCTCACAATTTCATTACCACTTATTCGAAAGTCAATTTCGTTATCGATTGGGGAATATATTTCGTTCCCGCCCTGTTCAGCATCTTTGCTTTCGTGGTTCAATGTTTTGCGGGTGATACCCTATCCGAAAATAGTAGATCTTTGATACCTTCACTGAGAAAATATTCCCTAAAGCAGAATGCTGCAACAGATCTTTCTAACTTCGTCGACTTAATACTTGATAGAATGAGACTGCACCCTCCCGTTTTGACTGTTTTCGGTTTCGTTGAGATTAATAATAATCTTATACTAAGTTTGTTTAGTATTGTTATCGCATATATGGCTATTATTTCGCAAATTCCTGCCGAACATTTCGATTAGATCGGAATGAATTTCCTATTCACTTTAAAAGTTTTCGATGTTGTAGTTGTAACTGTTTCATATGCGCACAATTAATATTCACGATAATGTTAGAAAATCAAGCAATAGTATATAAAGAAAAACATGGGTTTTATGGTAGGGTTACTGTAATCAAATCATAAGAAAAGAGGACATCTAAGAAAATATTTGCTAAAAAAATAGTACAATATATCAGCCTATTGCTGTGGGGCGAACAACTCCTCAGGAATCATTCGAGGAGAAGTTCCGTTTCAGATATGTCTAGCCCCGTCCCTCACCACCTGGTCGCCTCCATTGTGGGCTTGTCCAAACGTAAGATGGGTTGGACGAAGGCCCACAGGATGGCGAGAGCCAAAGTCTATCTAACACAAAAATTTAACTTTAAAAAAATATGTCCGGGGAAAAAAAACGAATGGTGAACCCCGTGTAATGCATCTGTTTTTGTTCTCAAAACTGAATGAATTGCATAAGCACTTTCCTATTCTTAAATTTTTAAATTTGAACCTTAAACAGTGAATTATAAATATTATAATTCAGAACACTTCAAGAAAGTACAAACTTTACTATAGTTTTAATTATAATATTTAGTTATCACTGTATTCAAATGCTGCAATTGTTAGCTAATGGAGTATGACTTCTGTCATTCCAAAGCTTCAAATATTGTGTCTGATGGTATTTTCTGTATTTTTAATTGTTTAAACCTCAATAAATTCATTTTCACACAGCATTATTGAATGCAAAAAAGAGCAACTTCAACTACGAAATTACTGTAAGAATATAATTTTGATTATAAATACTGATATGAAATAGTAATGTATAATATTTTGGTGTCTGACATATTTATAAATGTTTATAATTTATTTTCTTCTGGAAGAGGTTAATCTACAATTGTACGGTACGTACAAATCAAATATTTTTCATATAAAAGTCATATATATTTTTGCAAGTTTGATATAAATAAAGTAGTTTTGCAATTAAACATGGCTTTATGAATTTCTTTACAATAATTAGAAGAAAAATTTTATGCAACTTAATTCAATAATAATAATAATAATATTAATTCAAATAGAATTAACTGGGATTTTTTTTATTAATTCATAGGAAGGATTAGAAAACACCATGACAAATTCTGTTATTCAGGATCTTCATTTGGTAGTTCAAAAATCTGCTGAATATTGAATTATCAATTGAAAATCTTGACATCTGTATGATTTAGTTGTATTTTGTTGTTGCAAGTTAGAATACAAACCCAGACAACTCACGTGATATGCTGTATTGCACGGTTATTCCCTTTATATAATGAAATAAAAATTTATAAAATGGAAAAGTCTGTAAGAATATAAAAGAAATTTAGTTGAAAAGTTAATATTTAATTCAAATAGAAAAATTTATGCTACTTATATATGAAGCGCATCACACAAAACGGCATCTTATCCAGTTTTTTAAAATTTTGAATAATTTATGATTTTTAAAAACTTTTCGTCCTGTGGGCATTAAGAAGGCCTTTGTAGCAAGCCCATTATGAATTCGGCCGGTGGAGTAGCCGTGTTGCAAGGGACGGGGACAAACATATTCGATTTGAGCCCGGATTCCCTAGAACGGTATACAGTACTGCCACCCTAACCACTTGACCATCTGGTCGTTTAGTGAAAGATCCAGCAGGGATTCGAACCCTGGATCTTTGGTTTACGATACCAACGCCGTACCGCCGGTTCACTGGGTCTCCGATCTAGGATCATATGTACTATCTGATTACTGGTATAAAGAACTATCACCAAAAATGTATTTATCGTTCGAAAACAGACTTTTTTCCGCCCTGTGGACACTAAGAAGGCCTTTTTAGCAAACCCATTATGTATTCGGTCAGGCGTACAGTCGTGTTGCAAGGGACGGGGACAAACATATTCGATTTGAGTCCGGATTCCCTAGAACGGTATACTGCCACCCTAACCATTTGACCATCCGGTCGTTTAGTAAAAGATCCAGCAGGGATTCGAACCCTGGATCTTTGGTTTACGATACCAACGCCGTACCGCTGGTTCACTGGGTCTCCGATCTGGGATCATGTGTGCTATCTGATTACTAGTATAAAGAACTATTACTATAAAATGTATTTATCGTTCGAAAACAGACTTTTTTCCGCCCTGTGGACACTAAGAGGTCCTCTTTTAGCAAGCCATTATGGATTCGGTCAGGCCTACAATGGAGCGCCCGGGTGGTGAGGGACGGGGCCGACATATCGAAAACAGGCTTATAGCATTATANACAAAATGATAGATTCCGTCGTTTTTGTTTGTAACTTTCTCTGCCCTTCTGGCGCTAAACCTTTTTTTAGCAAGCCATTATGGATTAAGCCAGGCTCACAAGGGGCTGCTGGGTAGTGAGAGATGGAGACTCGACATTTCGAATAAATCAATCCTCCCAAAATTATTCCTGAGGTTTTCGACCCGTCGGAATGAGAAATATAAATATAAATTTATTTTAAAATATTTTAATAGGGAATTTAGTAATCGTCATTAATAATTATTTAGTAATCTTCATTATCTAAAAAAAATATGTTAATAAATATTACGATAACGTAATATTTTTTTAATCTTAGATGATGTCATACAGCATGATTCATCCCTCTTGTGGCAATTCCATACAACACAAATGGCGTGGAGGGAAGGTTGGATGTTGTTCACTCGAGTTGTGAAAGAAACTTGCTTTAGGGAGAAAAATATACAAGTTAAATGTTCCAGAACTCTTACAAGACATAATTTTATCGTTAATAATGGGCACAATCTATTAAGAAGCGAAACATTACGGAACAATTACTATATTCCCTTTGCAGGCCTTAGTATTGGAATTGGCATAGGTTTATATTATTATGTATCTAAATATAAGGCAAAAGTAGGCGATATCAGTGAGAAAATTAGAAAATTTTCATCAGTTCAAGCTGCAGAAGTCTTTGATTATGGCTTGAATGCTGCTGGTATTTCACATTCTACTACCAAAAAGTATAATTTCATTGCTGATGTTGTGGAGAAAGCTGCCCCTGCTGTTGTTTACATTGAGATCAAGACTGTGTATGACTTTATAAATACTGTATTTTCATGTTGATAAGAGTGATTCATAATATCTGTATTTATTTATTTTCAGGCATCCATTTTTTGGAGAAAGACCGGTCGCCATTTCTAACGGATCCGGTTTCTTGGTGAGGTCCGACGGATTAATTTTAACTAATGCCCATGTTGTTGCCAATATGAAAACCGTAACTGTCAAGCTGTACGATGGAAGAGTTTTCGAGGGACACGTGATAAGCTTTGACAGAAATACCGATCTGGCCACGGTGAAGATTAATGCCGTATGTTATTTTTTGTATTTTTGATAAAGTGATACACATGATTATTTTGTGAACCTTGCTGGGAGCTACATGTTAATTTAAATGAATATTTATATGTAGTGCAAGTAGTAATGAGATATGCTTTGGATCTGTTTAATTCATATAACTTATACCTTTTGCGTAGTAACATAGACTTCCCTTGTTACTGTGCATCAGAAACCCAGCTGAGATTTACGAAACATAGTGTAACTATTTTTTAATTACTTTTTCAGTTTACTTATATATTCATATTAGAAATATAAATATAGTTTAGTCCACTTAACAAGAAAATGAGATAAGAGAGCGGTTTGCTCATGTGTTTCCTGTTTTCTCCTGTATGTTTTATATTAGTGGGACTCCTGTTAACAGAGCACTGGATAGTAAAGGAGTTCATTTAATTGAGCCCTGTAGAATTTTTGGTACTTTTCTGTTAACAGGAAGCCAGCCAATATGGTAAGATTGAAGTTCTGAAAATGAGGGGTTTTGCACCACCCCAGAATTGTTGACCCTTCACAAGATATTCACCTCCAAAGGTCAGATTTTAACATGTATCAGTACACTGCCTATTCTATGTGCTTTGCATGTAGTCGTGCTCTTCGGTGTTTGCTATTGCTCGCACCTCAGTGCCCGGGTGGGGCAAGCATCTAAAACTATATAACTCAATTACTCCATGAACAGTCAAGTAGGCTACTCGAAGCCAACACAGTCGTGTGGGTTAAATAGTTAAATATGATAGTTGTAGAGGAGTGATGCAGATGACTGTATCGCCCATCAGATTAAAGTTACAACTGGCATCCCGTTAACAGAAAACCAAAGTTTTAGAGCAACAGTCTGCATAACGCAGTACTATTCTAAAGAAGATTTATAAGGGTCTATGTTTTAATCTTAAGATACATGGGCACATGACAACAGAGCTTTCTACACTATGGTATTTGTTAAGTGGCGAATTGATGATTTAGTGGTGCTCCTCCCTGATAGAGGAGCACCACTAAATCCTCTCCACTAACCTGTCCAGTATAAAAATGCTTTTGGAAATAATTGCTTAATTGAAATACTTTCATCTGTTTCCAATTACTGTTTAGTTTTGTTATTAACAAAACGATTATTGTAAATTAAATTTCGGTCAGAAGGACTGATATCATGTCTTTTAAATAAAATGGCACTAAGTGAAGAACTCTTACAGGTAAACAAGGATGAATACGATAACATGCTGTCAACTTAATTTGCATGTAGAAATCAGTACCTATTGAAAATACGTACACAAAAAATTTCATAAGTTTTACTTTAATAATATTATTTTCTTCCTAGAGCAGTAGGCCGACACCTTAGCTGCTCAATCATGTGGCCAATACAAAAAAAAAATGATTTTCAGATTCACAGATATATTATTTTAATTTAAATACTGTATATTTCAGATTTATAGTAATAATAATTGATGTTTTTATTTTCAGAAAGATTTGCCAGTCCTGAAGTTAGGATCATCTGCTAAAGTAAGACCTGGAGAATGGGTTGTTGCTATGGGAAGTCCATTGTCCCTTAGTAATACTATTACTGCCGGTATTATAAGTTCAGTTAACAGAGGGAGTAGGGAGTTAGGTCTCCACAAAGAAATGGAATATATTCAGACTGATGCTGCAATCAATTTTGGAAATTCTGGTGGTCCTCTGGTTAATTTAGTAAGTAAATATATTTATATTTTAGTTTTTAAGTTAAAGCAACTGAAATGGAAATTGTTTAATGATTTATTTATTTTTATTATATGAATGATTCTATTTTTCAGACCATAATATGATACTTTATCTGCTTCAAAACACAATTTTAAAACTATTTAATTTATTAATTAAAAGAAAGAAATAGAGAATTAATTATTAATATTGAGCTGTATTATTATTTTTTGGTTTAAACACAGTTCTGAATGGGGCATTTGGGACCTTATCAGAACGATATAGGAAAAGTCAAAGAAACCATGGTTCATTATGACCTTTGCGAGACTGCCCATTGAAATTGGCCTATCTGGGATTTTGAAAATCCTCAAAAGTGAGGTAAAATTTAAAAGTGAAATAAATCTGAAAGTGTTTTTCAAAATGATGCTAAAATTCAACTGTTTTCCATTTTACAAGAGAAGGCTAAATGCAATGGCGTTTGTGTTTTACAAAGCTGTTAAAACTGTAAACACAAACACCATTGTACCGACTACTTCCGAGCACAGTTAAAATCATGCTGTGCGCTCCGTTAAGCTTGTCGCAGGCTGATTTCAAGGGAGACCATATCTCACGAAGGGTTGCATGTAGATCATCATTTCCTTTGACTTTTTTTACTCCTATGGGCATGGTTGACAGCTCTGATAAGGTCCCAACTGCCTCATTCGGAGCTGCATTTCGATCATTTTTTATATATTTTTTTACATATAGATACCATTTTTAAAATACTACAGTGTGTGTGCAGGTTATCTTTTAAAATAGTTGACTAAAATATATGCTTTATCAGATGTTAGATAAGATGATAAATCATTTTTAAAATGTCAAATTTATCTATAGTTAAAAATTGATAAAAAAAAAAAATAATAACAATAAAATTGATGGATTATATTTAGATTAGAATTTCTGGTTATTTGAACAATATATTTTTCAAAGAAATTACATTTACAGGTTTTAATAATGCTTGAATGGGTCTGGTCAAATCCAAGATATGAATTAATTTAAGATTTAAAATATTAAAATAAAAAAACACTCATATATTAATGAGGTTTACTTAGTGTAACTGCATAACGTAACAATTATTATAGGTTTATGTTTATTTTTAGGAACAACTGGTATCTTGTCATAGACCAGTGATGCCCAAACTTTTCAATTGATGGGCCAAATTGCATATAAGTTGTAGGTAGGTGGGCCACAAATATTTGGTATAGACTTTACATATGAAAAGGTCTATTTCTATCATAAGTGATGTGTCAAATACGTTTGTGGGTGGATTAATGTGCACCACAATTTTGTCCTAGGGCTGTAGTTTGGGCACCAGAGCCACAGACCATTACATATTTTTAAAATTAATGAGATTTATCACATCTCATTGTGCCAAAAAAAGGATTTTTGTATGATAGCATTATTAAATTTGAAAATTACTCTTATTTGAATATGTTTACCTCCTGTTGTTTTATTTGCATTAAATAATATGTAATTTGTGACTGATGAATGGTTAGCTCTGTATTCTGTTTCATAAATTCTAACATTATGTTAAAACATTCCTATTATGTTATTTCCATGTTTATGTCACAGAGAATTACTTTTTTCTCTCGTATTACAACCTGCAGACACTAAGAGGGCATTTTTTTTCATATCCATTGTGGGGTGATCAGGTGATGAAGGACAGGGCTCAACATATCCAGTCCATGAAAAATTGGCTTGACATCCTGAGCAAAATCATCTGTTAAAGTAAGTCAGAGAATGGATTCAATTTTTCATGAGCTGGATATGTCAAGCCCATGGAAAATTGGTGTTCTGGTCTCACAAATCATGCCACAAAGCAGCAAATTGTAAGAAATAGGAATGGAATGGAAAATGCATGTTTATATCCAGAACAGAGCTGCTTGTGGCTTGTTGGAATAATTTGTTACATTTAAATCTAACATGCAGTTTCACTTTCCATGCTTAGTGAATAGCGTTACCAACTTACAATGACTGGAATCAAATTCCAACAAATCAGTATTTCATACTTCCATTCACACTATTCATATATGCAGGGTGTCTTTCGTATTAAATCGGTCATATTCTGCAACTTTGTAATTGACTTTTTTCTGTATCATGCATTGTTTTTAAGATAGGAGCATTAACTTCCAAATTTTACTGCTAGGGGCACTACAAGTGGTATCGTCTTGTAATGCATAGTCATTTTACTATAACTACACATCACACGTAACTATAGCTATCTGTGTTCATCAATTACATGAATACATAAGGACTTTACTATGCATCCTGTATATAAAAAATTTAATGAATTTTTTTCTCGAATTCATTTATTAATTATTACATATTTTCATTTAAAGGACGGCGAAGTTGTCGGAATTAGCACTATGAAAGTAACTACAGGTATTTCATTTGCAATACCTGCAGATTATGCTGCTGAATTTTTGAAGCAGACCGAAAGCAAAAGTAAGAACTAAGATCTATATTTAAGTCAGTTCCGAAGCAGCTAATTATAATAATTTAATAATTTTTCAGCGAAGAGTTGGTTAGGAAAAGTGGTTCCAAATAATATCTCGAAGAAACAGTATCTTGGAATTACCATGCTTACATTAAATCCGAATCTAGTCTTGGAATTGCAACAGCGCAACCCAGATTTTCCTCTAGTCCAAAGTGGAGTGCTTGTTTGGAAAGTTATACTTGGATCCTCAGTTCACTAGGGCGGTATTCAGCCGGGAGACATAATCACGGATATTAACGGTAAACCAGTAAAATCTGCTAATGATATTTATGCAGCACTAGAAAATAATGCCACAATAAAAGTCACAGTAAGAAGAAAGAATGAAGTGTTCAAACTAACTATAACACCACAAGAAGCCGATTAAAATGAATTAATTTCTTACAGTTTTTAATAGAAATAATAAATTTTTTCATAGTTTTATTGAACAAAATGTGTTTCTGCATATAAATGAATCAAAGACAATACAGATTTCTAGTGAAGTTGCTTATACAGAGATACACTATCTTTTTTGTTCCAATGAACTTGTAATTTATATTTTGATATTTTCTATAATTTGTTTTATTTATTTTCTCTATTATATTAAACATTTCTATATCATTGTTTTTTCTTTTATGATTTTTTACACATTGTTTATATCTTAATCTGTATTTAAAATAACCTACATTTACAAACAGCTAATTATCATCCAGTTTTTTCCAGAAAGACTTCTTAAGTTCAACCCCACTTGAGATAGAGGAAGTTATATTTCCCTACCCCTTTGACTATTAACCACCAAAAATTTAATAACATCAATGGTCCTAATACACAAATCTCCCCGCAAAAAATAGGAGTTAATTAAACTGAGTTTGGCAGAGAAATTTTATCACAATAGTTATTCCTGAGCACAATCTGTTTGTCTGTACATCAACCAGGCAGCATAACACATTCCTATCCTGCCAAAATTTCCAACTTGGTTGAATTTTCTACAGTAAGGATGTTATTCAACTTTCGACTTACCCTCTGTATTAGCGGATGATGTTTTCTTACTTGCTATCATTTTAATGTATTTGTAAAAGTAAAATTTGGAGATTTGATGTATAAAATAAGAATCTTCCTTAAGAAATTATTTTCTTATGGAAAAACAATTTGAAATATATAAATTTTTTAAACATTATCAATTATGTCTCATGTCGTGAAACTTAAAAATAACCACATGGTAATCTAATCCCAAAATTATAAATTAATTAAATGAAAATGCTGGATTTGTTGGGCTTTGTCTCAATGAATCCAGCATTATCATTTGATTGAACTTAAAAATATTTGGAGAATCTGTAAACTACAAAATATCCAGTTAATTATTTCAATAAATTTTAATAGATTTAAAAAAAAACTATTTCAATTACTTTTATAACAAACGGAAATTTGTATTTTTGACTTTTGTATGCAAATGTAGCACTACATTACTTGTGCATGTGCAGTTTATCTAGCAAATTTGTACCAATCGGGTTACATTACATGATGGAATATGCATATATTTTATACAAAATACAATTTTGATTCTGATGAAACCGTGTTGTTGTTATTAAGCTGTTTCTTTGCAGACACACTAAGGTGACATATATCAACACTATTAAGCTGTTTCTTTGCAGACACACTAAGGTGACATATATCAACACTTGGCAACTTATTGACTATTTATTCAGTTGGTACAATTTGAATTTTCATTTTACATTATTATTGTTGGCTTGACAGCTTGGGATGTTACTTAGCTTTTCCAAGCTGCTCTCTTACTATTCTTCGGGAGAGAATACAATATTGCAAACTCTATCCACCTCAAGCTTAATTATCCTTTCGTGCTCTGGTTTTGTCAAGCATTTCTTTAACTATGCTATTTTCACTCATGCACATACATGGAGTCCAATTTAGCCTATATGCAGCAGTCTCAATAGTTTGAGGCACTATGCCCGTAAACTGAAATATGCACACATGGCCAGTATGCACAAAAATTACATGTTTGGGTAATTCAAATTGTGAGACAAGACACCATATAACTGAAATTCTAAGCATGCCAAAAGATTTAACATCTTTTGACATGCTTAAAATTTCGGTTATATAGAAGTCCTTATCAATGATGTTTTAAGTAATAAAAGAATATATTTAATTTTACCATTCATGGTAATGGGAAATTAGTATTGAAACATTTTATAATGTTTTCATTACTTTCATAAAAATTTAAACTTTCAATTTTAATAAATTTATGGTATATTTGTGGGAATTTGCATACTTGTTCAAAAAGTTTTGCAATGATTTATCAATTCTCTGTGCTGCCATTTCTATTTTTTTGTTCCCCAGTCCAGTGGGTGTCCCCAACCCTCTGCTTTGTTCTTCACTTGCCCTGCAGGCTTCAATGTTCATTCAGAATATACACTATTCAACATTTTGTGAAGATCATCAATTCCCAGTGCCAGTTTTTATTGACGATTTTAAGCTAGGTATTTTATATATATATATATATATATAGAATACATTATTATTTTTTATTATTTCTATTGAATGTGCCTAACCTATAATGAATGAGAAAAATTCATTCCTATCATGAGGTTAAGTCTACAAAGGAACAGAGATTTATGGTGAGGATGAGGCCCAACATGTCAAACCATACAAAAATTTCTAAAAATTGATCTGGCTTAAACCTTGGTTCCACAGAGTGGCATTTTGATCATTAGATATTCATTATGGTATGTATGGCAAGAAATGTTCGTTGTTCCAGCACATCTATGTGCAATAGGCACGTCATGTTTTATATAAGGGTGCCATTGTAGGAGGGGGTGTGCCGCATGCAACCCCAATGGAATTGTCTTAATGTTTTGATTTAAAATTAATCAAAACATTATGTTTTTATCAAAATCAGATAATCATAACAATCCTATTAAGATTGTGTGACAGCATTCCCATATCAGACACCACTGCAGAAGACAGTTTATTTTTCTCATACTGGATATGTCTTGCTGAAGTATCTTTAAGATTCTTATAACAGATCTGCGATTGAATCCACAAAGAACTGTTCTAGTTTTTTATGATTATACTGGATTAGAGATGGGGACAATGGGTACATTCTAGTATGCATCAGTCTGGGCCACAACCCATGAACTGGTGAAGTTTAATAAGCTTTTACCAGAGTATCTGGCAACTTAACAAAATGGCAGAAGCAAACAATATATTGGCATTTACCGACTTGAGTTAGTACTTAAGTGACCAGATTGTGAAATGTAAAAAATGGGACATTAGGCCAGGTGATATTTAAAAAATCAAGATGTCATATTAAAATGTAGAACTGTCCTGCCTAATTTGAGACATTGGTCACTTTATTCATGTAGGATTTAGGTAACGGCACTATGCTCAGCTACATCTCTACATAAGTAACATTGTGGTAATTTACTAGGATGGAATATTCTACATATAGTAAAAGTTAAAGGAAAATTTGAAGCAAATTTTTTATATATAAAAATGGGATAATCCGAGATGTCTGGTCATTTTAATTAGTACAGACAAGTAATAAAAGTAATGTTAATAATATAACCACAGAGGCAGCCATATTGCTTCATCAGAACTCGCCACATCCATACCCAAAGATTGCAATGTGCATCGTTCGGTACACCGGTAAACTCGATGAATATTGGAATGCATTTTAACATGTCACGGTGCTGTTTGATGCATACTGGAATGAATCTGATGTCAACCTACAGTGGTTAACTCTTGCAGTACACATAATATATCTATATTGTATCAAAGGGAGGAAAGTTTGCATAGTTTATAAAAACTATAATAATAAACCATTATATCTTACAATAATGATACTTTTTTAAATTTTCTTTTATTTCAGTCAACATAAAAAGATATATTGGACATCATTTGCTGCACTGCTACAATTTCATAAATAATACTGTCACAAATTAAACGTAAATATACTTTCGTCGTATGTTTCGATAGAACGATAAGCACTTTTTTTCATAAAATAATTTCTAAAAAAGAAATCCCAAAATAACTTAGGACGAAACAACAAAAATTACAGATATAATTTGTTGTAAAGTGTAGTTTAAAATCAAATTTGCAACTTTACAAATCCTTCATTATAATATGCATATCAATATAAAAATATTTAAGCAGTCTGTAATCAATTTTCATGAATTTTAATTTCTCGCAATGCAATTGCTTAATTTCTTTTACTTTAAAATAAGATTCAATTTTAAAAAATAATTATATATATATATATTTATTTATATACGTGTATATATATAAATTGGCAGTTTGATGAATTAACAGTCTTTATATCGAGGAGAAAAAATAAAAATAAAAAATAAAATGAAAGTAAATTGCGTAAAATGGAATGATTTTATAATGAAAATGATATTTTACAAACTCAATTTTGATTTTTTGTGATTATATGTGACATATACCCTGAAAGTTATTTACATTTATACAACAAATCTGAATGGATGAACCTGTTTTTTTCTTTTATTATTAAATGATAAGATCTCGAATGGAAACAAATTTACTTCACATCCATTTAACACTGCTCGGTGTTTAAAGCAGCCTAAATGATTCGCTCATTCGAAATTAAATGGTCGTACACCAAGCAGCAGGCATAGGAACTGTCTGATTAGCCGCCAAAGGCACCTAAGATTCGTTTGATCTATCTGTTCTGGCCCAATTATGTCGCGAAAGAACGAATGCTGCCTGCAGCAAGGAAGCTGTGGATGAATTAAAAATAATACATAGAATTTTATTTTTAAATGATCAGTTTATACGAATTTAAAAATATTATCTATGTTTTCCTTAATAATTAAAATTTTTCTTGGAAAATATAAAGATTGTTAGTTGCAGCAACGGCCACGATGTTTTCTTGAGGATGCCATGCTGTGTGAAGTATTTTCCTGTTAAAGTCTAGGCAGTCTACGCTAATGTCATCTTTCTTTCTTCTTCCACCAGTATATACCTAACGAGGAAAAAATACATTGCGAAGAGATTAAAGAATGAAAGCGGGAAAGATTTATTTGAAATTTACAGAATCTACCCACTTTTCTTGGCCTTAATACTGTTTTGGGTTTGGCTATGTCTTTAGATGCTTCAAGAGTGATGTCTCGTTTAGAATAACGATCAAATACACGAAAGAAATTGTTATAAGATCCCGTCATGACGTAGCTACAAGTGAAGAAATATTTTAAACCCAATTTCATGTAGACAAAAAGAAAAAAAAAAACAAACATATTTTCACTTACTTATCTACGCCATTCCAGCAACACTCAAATTTGTCAAAGATGCAGTCATTCTCATAGAGCGTACAGAGCTTTGAGCGAAGATATTCGTGTACGTGGAAGCACTCGACTGGTTTGTTATCCATGTGCAAATCCCAAACTTTAATAGATAAATAGTCTCTAGATATCATGTAGCGTCCACTGTTGCTGAATTTAACATCGGATATACTAGATATTATTTCGGAAAAGAAACTCCTGCTCGTCGGATCCTCCGGCTCTTCAAATACTAAAATTATGCTTGTGTTATTACTATTATAGGAGAGCAAAATATTAAACGAATCGCTAACACTTACTTTTGGCATGTTGGTCACAAAGTGCAGATGCACGCATATCACACAACCTTATCGTTCCTTTACTACTACTATAAATAAAGACATTGCAGTGTAATGGATGGAATTCCGCTGCAGTAATAACTTCAGTCAGCTCTTCCATATTTGCCGGTTTTATATCGACAATATCTATTATTTTAGTTAATGAATTCACATAATACAATTGCATTAATAAAAATAAAAAAATAAGATAATAATAAAAGGATACTGAAACTTTGATCAGTTATCTCTAGATGCCAAAGGTTAATCCTTAAGTCGTCCGCCGACAGGTAAGTTTCTTGGTCACTATTAACCGAAATCGAATTAATATGATAAGTATGGGCATTGGCAAATATTTTCCTTGGACTAGCTTCTACCATCAGTTCCATCGGTCGAACGACAGGTACCCGTAACGTCGTAATCGATGTTGGATCACGTAATAAACCAGATTCGTCCTTTAAATTTGTTCCATCTATTCTTTTATCCCTCTCTGATATTTTCCACAATTTGATGGTTTTATCTATAAACAAAATAAATAAATAAATAAATATATATATATATATATATATATTACAACATTAATTATTATTAGATAGAAAATTATTAATTACCATTGGTAGATAATAAGAAGTGAGCAGGATTTTTTCTTTTTAACCATCTTATTTTATTTATCTTCTCTTCTATTTCTAGACTCTTCAGATAATCAAACTCTGGTTCGTGGCTTTGGAATGTACTATAAACATTATATTCACCTCTTCTGGGCACCGAGAGTTTCGACTGTGTACATACAATAAAATCGATATATTGTTATCCAACATATTATAATTTAAACTATATATATAAGCATGAAAATCTTTTTAAGTTAACATCTTTTATAAATGTTATCTATAGTAAAAATGTTATTTTCATATATTTAACAATCTCTCTTATGTTTTGTTTTTGGTAACAACATAACTCATTCTCAAGTGTAGTGGTTTTCAAAGTTATTTAT